CTCTGCAGCACCGGCCCCGGCTGAGTCCAGGGACACAGAGGGCAGGAGACATGGCCCACGGGCAGAGGCTCCAGCCACAGTTCTGAAGGGCATGGGCGGGTACATCTGAGGCTGCAGGCACGTGCACACACGTGTGTACAAACACATACACAGACATGCAGGCCACACAGCTGGAAACAGTCGGCTGCCTGTAGGACAGAAAGCTCCCCTTCTCCCACGCCTCTGCTCAGTAGGGGGACTGCAGGGGGAGGGGGCTGGGAGGAGCCATCTCCCCTTTCCCAGGTCCCGCTGTGAGCTGCCCCTGGCAGGGGGCCTTCCTCAGAGGAAGTTCCCAGGATCTTCACTGGGGGGCGAGGCCCCTTCAGGGGGGCTTCCCTCTGTGCTGGAGGCTACATTAGAGAGCTGCCTCACCCCCTAGATCCCAGCCACAATCTTGCCACAGCCTGGGGGTGCACAGGACCCCTCCCAGGCCCCAGTGCAGCCCCCGAAGCAGGCAGGAGGTTCGGGGGCACAGCTGGCGACATCTCAGCCCTGAGCTTCCTTCTCATCTGTGAGGGGCAGGCACCCCCGGGACCCTGAGTGGGGGGTCAATCTTCAGGCAGTGGGGCCACCACGGTGATTATGTCTGCAGCCCCAGTCCAGCTGGGCCTCGGGGGCCCTGGGGAGCCCCGTCCAATGGGGAGGGGATGCCAGAACTAGGACTGCAGGAAGGGGGTCCATTCCTGCCCCACCCAGGCCACTGGAGGGGTGGAGCGTGGCACCCCACCCCCAGCTCTGAAGTGGGCTGTGGACCTGGGTTCCACAGGTGGAAGCAAAGGACTGGGGGTGGGGGGGCCTGCTGCTGTGGCTGGCAGCTGTTTTCCACCCTCCTGTGGTGATGGGGGCAGGTCAACCCTTCAGGAAGGAAGCTGCATGGGCCTGGCCAGAATGACCTCTGGCTGGACCTGTGGCCCCGAAGCATGGGCACCCCCTTCTCTGGAGCAGCCCCCTCCCACTCTCTGCAGACTGTGGGGCTAAAGATTCCCTCTTCTGATACTGTGGGGACAGGACCTGTCCTGGCCCTAAACCCCTCTCCCTCCTCAACCTGGAGGCTGCAGCAGGTGCCATCCCCACCACCCACAGAGGTCCCACCAGAGCGGCCAGTGTGGACAAGCGGGAGGAAACCCAGTTCCAAAACAGCTTTCCACCTCCCGTCTGCAGGGAGAATGGAGCCAGGCTCTTCTCTGGGTGGGGAGTGAGGGGCAGGGTGGGGTCTGGAAAAAGCCTAGTGTAGTTGCCACCAGCTTAGCCCGGCCCCTCAGAGGCCATCCGCACAGAAGTGAGCCACCGAGTTCCCCTACCCCTCCCAGCATCTCGCTCCCTTTGCTTTCAGCCAGCAAAGCCCACCCCAGGGCCGCCCCCGTGAGCCTGCGGCAAGGCAGGGGCAAGCCCAGGTGAAGTCGAAGCCGAGACAAGTCCATTCATGCACTCGGGAAGCACCGGGCCAACTTCCCACTGGGAGCCCCTGGATGGGGAGAAGACGGAGGTGGGCCCTCCCCATCCGGCAGACCCCCTCCCAGCTGCAGGAGGGAAACGGGGCAGCAGCCTCCAGCCCAGGCCTGCCTGAGGGAGACCCTAAGAGGGTCTCATGGGGTGGAGCTGGGGGGATCAGGGGGTGGGATGAGAACCTAGAGTCAGAAGGGGCAGGAGAGGGTGGCAGGGACAGAGAAGCTGCCTCTCCCTGTGCAAGAGGAAGGTGGAGGAGTTGGGGGCAGGAGAGGGGGAAGGGCCCAGCCCTCTGGGAGGTCCTCCTGTAGCCCAGAAACTTCCCCCATCTCCTAGACTGCCCCACACTGAAGGGAGCCTGGTCTGGGGGTGTCTGGCCCCTCACTCCCAGCACCGATGCTGCACCCGGGGCCATGGGACCCTAGGCTACCCTCAGAACTGAGGTCCTGAGGCCTAGACAGCTGGTGGGCAGGGAGGAAGGAGGAAGGGAGGGCTCGAAGGCTGGAATACAGGTGGGGCCGGGACCAGGCCGCCAGGACCCTGGGCTTCAGAGTTGGGCAGGGCTGGGCTGGGAAGACGCCAGACTCACTCCGACCCTGGTCCCTGCCCTGTCCCTTTGCCAGGCCCTGGCAGGAGCAGACAACACTTCCTTTCTCTGCTCCTGGCTCCTATCGGGGAGGATGGGCCCAAGGCAGCCTGGACGGCCCTCAGCCAGGCGTCCCTCAGGGGCGTCAGGGAGGCTCTACGACCAGCCTTTAAGAGGTGGGCTGGGAGCACATGGTCAGTGCCCAGACAGGGCAGGGTGGTGAGGGCCGGAAGAGTGGCCTGCTCAGCCACCAGCCCTGGGCAGCTGGCACTGCGGAGACCAGGCCACTTCCCTCACAAAGCAGGGGCGGGGGTCTCCTTCCGGAGGGAGCAGCCGGCCTCCTCCCCCGCCCAAAGGTGGCTCAGAGGGAGGGACGCATACCTGCTTTAGTTATGCCAGGAATGTGGCTCCCCAGGCAGGAGGGGGAGGAGCCGTCCTGGGGGCTGTGGACTGGGGGAGGGGCCCTGGCTGGGCAGGGCCAGGAAGACTAGCAGGGCCAGGAAGACCAGGCAGGGAAGAGCCAGGGGAGAAACTGAGGAAGTCCCCCTGGAGCCAAGTGCAGGTGTGGCCCAGCAGCAGGTGCGCCTCCCCGGCAGTGTGCAGGCAGCCTGGTGGGGGCGTGGCCTGGGAGGACGTGCCCTCCCCACCCTGGGAGCTTAGAAGGGCCTTTGGCTCCAGGACGGGGGTTCCCCGTTAAAGGTGGGACCTGGCCGGGCAAGGTGGCTCACACCTGTAATCCCAGCACTTTGGGAGGCCGAGACGGACAGATCACGAGGTCAGGAGTTCGAGATCAGCCTGACCAACATGGTAAAATCTGTCTCTGCTAAAAATACAAAAATTAGCCGGGCGTGGTGGTGCGCGCCTATAATCCCAGCTATTCAGGAGGCTGAGCAGGAGAATCGCTTGAACCCAGGAGGCAGAGGTTGCAGTGAGCCAATTGCACCATTACCCTCCAGCCTGGGTGAGAGTGAGACTCCATCTCAAAAAAAAAAATAGGTGGCATCTAGTGTACTCAGCGGTGGCTTCCGAAGACTAGGGGCCGCCCAGACTTCACCCTGTGCCCTGGGAGGTGGGTTAGAGTCAGATGGGGAGAGGCCAGCTAGGCACAAGCCCCCTACATCCATCCCCCTCACTAGGGTGAGGCCTTTGCTTCCAGAAAGTCTAGGGTGGGCTCCAATGTCCTTATCTCCCACAGCTGAGGGGAGGGGTGGGCACATAGGACTGTCCCTTCTCCAGCCAGGCTGGTTCCAGGGACCTTGTCCCTCAGAGCTCACCCAGGCTTCTGGGAGGCATTTTCCCCATCCTGGCACCTGTGCCCCCAGCCCCTGCAGAAATCACTGGCCGGCTTCCAAAGCAGAGGCCCACCTGTCCCACGGGAAGCTCCTGGGCTCCTGGGCACCTTCCAGGGGCCCCACTCATGCTGCTTCCCTCCCAGAAGCTAAGCCACACCCTCCTGGCAGGGGGTCCCCAGGGACCCTCCTCCCAGTGCTGGGCTCAGCCTGGGCACTCACTCCAGAGCCAGGGCCTGGCGTGCATAGAGCGGCTTTGGCAAGACTGCCGGGATGACTCTTCTGCCACGTGCCCTCTGACCCTATAGCAAGTCCTCAGTTACTGAGTCATGGACCCTCGGGCTGGACCTGCCTGGCTGTGGGGTTAATGATTCCCTCTCCTGATCCTGCAGAGCCAGGAACTGTCCTCACGCTGATCTCCTTCTCCAGCCCCTCCTCAGCTCCCGAAATCACCGCCCCACAGCCGGTCCCAGCTCCATAATGCCAGATCTTTTCCCCAGACCACAAGGGCCCCGAAGAGGGCTAAGGTGTCGCATCCCTCCAGTGGAGGGCCGGGTTGGGGAGGGACCCGGGGGACCCTCCTCTGTGCTGCCTTTGGACCCTGGACTTTGAAGACAGCTTGGGGGCTGCTGACCACTGGCTAGGCGAGAGGCTGCAGTGCTGGCTGCTTTGGGTGCTGCCCCTCCCCCTGCACAGCCCCCAGGCAAGTACAGAGACAGGAAGACAACACTCCAGGACCCTGCGAGGACCCCACAAGAGCCAGGCTAGCGTCAGGGCAGCAAAGTAGACAGAAGCCAGCACTTTCCTGCTGGCCAGCAGAGCAAATTGGAGGGACAGGAAGTCAGGACCCTTGCTGTGGCCTCAGGGAGGAAGCATTCTCCGTGCCCCCCACCAACACATCCCTTCCCAGACAGCCATGAGGGAGCAGACAGGATGTGGGGGCGACAGGGACCTCCTATATTTTCCCTGCCACATTCCCCAGCCAAGGACCTCAGCCCCCAACTAGGACTTGTCCTGGGGCTGTCATGGGACTTCTGCTCCCCCTGCCCCCCTCCCCCCCCCCGCTGGGGTCAGTGTTAGGGCCACTCTCAGGCCATTCAGCAGAGAAGTGGGAACAGTGAGCAGGAAGACCTCTCAATGGCGAATTCCGCACTGTCTAAATTCACAGAAGCCCTCACCTCGCAGCCCCGCTGTCCCACCCTATGCCCACAGTTTGGGATGCTCACGGTGTGGGGTGCTCAAGGCGTGGGCCCCTCTAGATGGATGTCTGCACTGACACAGGACATTCACCTGTCCAGCTTCTCCCTAGAAGGGGCCTCCAGGAGGAAGTGTGGAGAGCCGGGAGGAGGCGGGAGGCTAACCCTTGCAGGGCTGGGACTTGCCTTCTGCCCCAGGGCCAGAGATGTGTAACTCAGGGCTGGAGCTGCTGACCTCTGACGGCTGGAGACATAGCCGGGAGCCAGGGAGGGGGAAGCTAGTGGAGGCCGAGGTTAGATCACAGTCAGACCACAGATCAGACTACAAGACACTGGGTGCTGCAGCAGAACACGAGAGGACCCCTCCAGCGACCCCTGCAGCCTGCCCACCTTGGCCACCAGCCTGACCCCCATCGGCCCCCACACGAGCCCTCCACCACGCACCTTCCACACAGAATTCCACCTCCTCTAGGTTCCGCAGAGTGATGCGCATGAGACTGGAGTTGAGCATCAGTTCATTCTTGTGAGCCGGCCACAGGTACGGGGGTGCAGGGTTCACAAAGAAGATCCGGGTGTCCCCAGTGGACACCTGGTTGTCACAGATGAGGGGGTCTCCAAAGCCGCTGATCACCACCTTGTTGCCGCCGTCCAGCAGACTCTCCCGGGCCACCAGGTCTTTGCCCTTCAGGTACCTCCAGACGCGGACCTGGGGTGGACATGGGGGTAGGTGTCATTAGTCCTCTCCTGGGGAGGGGGCTCGACTGGGGTTTCAGCTGCTCACTACAATGTCCACAGTAGATTCAAGCCCTGTGCAGAGATGTGGTTAACCCCGCTGGGTAGAGGCTGGGGAAGCACACCCATGGCAGCCACAGACCATGCAGGAACGCTTAGGGATGCACCACCTGTGAACAAATCCCCCTTCCAGGAAGCAGCTCCCACCCCAGGTCTAACCAACTTCAGCCACTCCAGCTCCAATAACGTCCCTCTTAGCTGAGGCTGAACTGGGGAAGGGGGCCCACGTGGCCCAGAGTGCCTGCCTCCCATCCCCTCCCACCTGCCCACTGCTCAGTGCCCACCTCCTGGCAATCCTAGGCAGTGGCCATGAAGGACTCAGCTTCAGGGTAGGGGGCAGCATGGCTCCTGGTGGCCCTGCCCTTGGGAAAGTGAGAACCCCTTTTCTGGGCTCCTGGTCTGTGCAGTCAGGGCAGCCCCAGCACCACGGAATCAAGTTTGGGCAGCACAGGGCGCCCCACCCTCCACCTTCTCAGCTGCTCTAACGGTGGCCTGTGGTAAGCCAACAGCAGACCTGGCGGCCCTCGCAAGGACAGAGACCCAGGCACCCCTTGAAAACGGAGCCAGGAGAAGAAGCCCCCTTCAGGAGCTCTGGGGGGCTGGGGCTGCAGGATGGGGTGAGACAATGGTTGGCCTGTCCACTGCTCAGCCCCGCTGGGAGCCTCGGGACTGCCGCATCTGCAGGGACCCCTCCAGCCGCCCGGGCAGAGCCGCTTCCAACCCCGCCCCCCCCAACAGTTGCTTCAGGAGGCAGATCACCCAGCAGGGGGAGGGTCTGGCGGCTTTCATCGCCTTCCCCCACCCCAGCCACACCCAGGAGCAGCGGGGAGGAAGTCGGGAAAATCCTGCAGGGACCTGGCAAAGTGCCCTGGCCGCTGTGGAGGAGACGGGGCCGGCGGGGGAGCCCAGCCGTAGCTGGCTGGTGTTAAGAGAAGCTGCCACCTTCTCCACCTCCGTGGAGGGGAAGCAAGCCAATTTCTGGTCCCAGGAGTTGGTTTGGGGGTACAGGGGAGCCGACTCTGGGTCTCCCGGGCCCCTGCTAGGAGAAGATGGTGGGGGGCCCCGCGTACCTACGCCGAGGGCTCCCAGAGGCACCTGAGGGAGACGCAGGGCAAACTTCCCGGGCTGGGGGAGCCCCGGTTCCCGCAAGAGCTCAATGGGGCACCGGCCCTGCCCCCAGCACATGAGGCCCGGCGGCGGCCCCGCCCACTTATCGGCTCCTGCCCCCCCCCCCCCCCCGCCGCCACTGCGGCACCCCCCGCCCGGCTCCTGGGGTTGGGAGCTCAGGCCGAGCGCCCCGTTCTCTCTCCTGACCACTCCCTCTCGCCCCGGGAAAGGCGTCTCGGGACGGAACCAGCGGGCTCAGGCCCACCCAGATCCCCACTGGGGCGAAGGCCCCTCCCCGGTCCCTCTCGTTCTCCACGGCCGGCGGGGAGGGTGCGCGGCAGCTGCAGTCCCAGGCGAGCTGCACTTGCTTCCGAGGCGGAGGGGCGGACGCGACCCGGCCTGGGCGCCGCAGCAACTTTCCCGGCGGCCCCCCCGCCTCGGGGGCTTGGCGGTCAAGGGAGCGGAGCTGGGGCTGCGCGGCGGCCGCGCGGGTTCCCACGGCACGGGGCGGGGTCCGGGCGGGAAACGGGCATCGCGGGGGCGAACCTTGCAGGAGTAGGTGTGCTGCACCGGGTCCACGTTCAGGATCTCCTCCACCGTGCCCGTGAGCACCACGTTCGCCTCCTCCTCGCGCCGCTCCAGCGCGCGCTCCGGGCACGTCCCGCCGGCGCCGGGCAGGACGCGCGCGGCCACCACCAGGAGCAGCAGTAGCGGCCGCAGCGCGCCCGGGCGGGACGGGCCTGGGCCGGCCATGGCGCAGGAGAGGCGGCGAGGAGCGCGCGGGCCGCGCCGGGGACGGGACTGGACAGGACGGGACGCGGCTCCGGAGGCGGTGGCGGAGGGCGGGGGGGGCGGGGCCGGGGAGCGTCCCTCCCCCGCCACTCCCCTCCCCTCCCCTCCCATTCCCTCTCTTCTCTCCTCCTCCTCTCCCTCCTCCCTCTCCACCCCTTCTTACCCTCCTCCCCCGCCCTCCTCCCCCTTCCCTCCTCCTCCCTCCTTCCCTCCCCTTCCTCCTCCCCTCCCCTCCCTCCTCCCCCTCCCCGCCCGGCGCCCTGCGACCCGCGCTGGCTGCGAACAAAGCCCTGGGACGCGGCGGCGGGCTAGGCCGTGGGGCTGGGAGGGGCGGCCCGGGAGGGGGCGGGGAAGGAGTGGGGGGGCCGGCTCCCGCAGGCGCCCCTCCCCTGCCGCGGCCCCCCGGAAGTGCGGCTGCACCCGAGTTAATGCCTAATCTGGAGGAGACGTGACAGGACTGCGGAGGGGCTTCGGGCGGGCCGCCGGGAGGGACCCTCGCCCCGGCCCCGATCCCGCCCCACAGGCCGCGCCCCTCCCCCGGGGGACCGAGGCTGGGCAGCGCGGGGACCCCTGGAGCTGCGGCGAGAGGGCGGGTCCCGGCGCCGGGGCGGACGCTGACTGGCCAGCACGGCGCGCGGCCCGCCCTCCAGGCCCGGCTCCTCCCGGCCCCTGCAGTTCCGCGGCTGCAAGCGCGTGTCCCGCCACGCCCCCTCCCCGCTAAGCGCCGCACACCTCTGCGGCTTGGCGGGGCTGGGTGCAGCGGGAAACGGGGCTGGAGGGCCCAAGTGAGAGCTTGGCCCAGCGAAATTCGAGGGGCGTAGCGGAGGCCCCCTTTGTCCCCTCAGAACTGAGTCTAGACCGGGCGCGGTTACTCACGCCTGTCGTCCCAGCACTTTGGGAGGTGGAGGCGGGAGGATCCCTTGAGCCCGGGTGTTCGAGACCTGCCTGGGCAACATAGCAAGACCCCCATCTCTCAAATAGAATTAAAAATTAACTGGACTTCGTGGTGCGCACCTGTGGTCCCAGCTGCTCAGGAGGCTGAGGCAGGAGGATTGCTTGAGTGTGGGAGGCAGAGGCTGCAGTGAGGGTGGTTTTACCACTGCACTCCAGCCTAGCTAAGAGTATGACCCTGCTTTTAGGAAGTAAATTTTTTGTTTTTTTGAGACAGAGTCTTGCTCTGTTGCCCAGGCTGGAGTGCAGTAGGACGATCTCTGCTCACTGCAACCTCCACCTCCTGGGTTCGAGCAATTCTCCTGCCTCAGACTCCTAAGTAGCTGGGATTACAGGTGCCCACCACCATGCCCGGCTAATTTTTGTATTTTTAGTAGAAACGGGGTTTTCACCATCTTGGCCAGGCTTGACCTCATGATCCACTCACCTCAGTTTCTCAAAGTGCTGGGATTACAGGCGTGAGCCACTGCATCCGGCCTGTATTTATTTATTTTTTTTTTTTGAGACGGAGTTTTGCTCTTGTTACCCAGGCTGGAGTGCAATGGTGCAATCTTGGCTCACCGCAACCTCTGTCTCCTGGGTTCAGGCAATTCTCCTGCCTCAGCCTCCCGAGTAGCTGGGACTACAGGCACGCACCACCATGCCCAGCTAATTTTTTGTATTTTTAGTAGAGACGGGGTTTCACCTTGTCGACCAGGATGGTCTCGATCTCTTGACCTTGTGATCTACCCGCCTTGGCCTCCCAAAGTGCTGGGATTACAGGCGTGAGCCACTGCATCTGGCCTGTATTTATTTTCAAAGGACTGGGTCGCCCGTATGCAGTGGTTGCAGTGGTTCACACCTGTAATCCCAGCACTTTGGGAGGCTGAGGCACACAGATCACTTGAGACCAGGAGTTCAAGACCAGCCTGGCCAGGATGGTAAAATACCCATCTCTACTAAAAATACAAAAATTAGGCCAGGTGAGGTGGCTCACACTTGTAATCGCAGCACTTTGGGGGCCAAGGAGGGCAGATCACGAGATCATGAGCTTGAGACCAGCCTGGCCAACACAGCGAAACCCTGTCTCTACTAAAAATACAAAACAAAACAAAAATTAGCTGGGCATGGTGGCAGGCACGAGGAGGCTGAGGCAGGAGAATTGCTTGAACCTGGGAGGCAGAGGTTGCAATGAGCCAAGATCGTGCCACTGCTCTCCAGCCTGGACAACAGAGCAAGACTCCGTCTCAAAATTTAAAAAAAAGGACTGGGTCTGTGGTGCACCCCCTCACCCCAAGCTAGCTACTGATCTCTGGGTCAGAGTATGACAGAGACTCTGCCCTGCCCTGACCCTGTGGGGGTTTCAGGAGAGACTCCTGGGCCAGCTTCAAGTGCCTGTTGTGGCAAAGGGATGAGGTGGGGACCAGAAACAAGGCTGGAGCTGAGACAGCCCCTGCTGGACACACTCAGGCACACAGTGGTCTTGGTGCAGCCAGATGGGGATCCCCCACCCAGACATGGACTCACAGACCACGGAGGGCTCTGTGTCTCCAGCCACATCCCCTCCAGGGCTCTGAAAGCCGAGGCCCAAGTGCCCCAATCCGGACTCTGTGTGTCCCACTGTGCCGTGTCCTTGAAGTGTCCTGGCCGACAGCTGGCTTCTGGGGGGACTCATTTAGCAAATTGGAATCGAGAGACAGGGAAGGGCACATCAGTGGGGAGGGGGGTATAGCTTGTACTGACTTGGGTCCCCCCACCTGGGACAAGCCCTTCTTCCTGGACAGTGTCAGCCTCAATTCCAGGTGCCCCCCACTGCTGGCCACAGCCCCTCCCTCATGCAGAGCCCTGAAGAGTGTGCTTGGGGCCACCCAGGCTGCCTTCTGCTCTTCTGCAGCTGGCCACAGTGGTGATGTGAGGTTCAGACCGTCTCTACTCCTCCCTAGCCCAGCCCAGGCAGGTGGAGCAGGCTGTGCATGCTGCCTAGGGATAACTAAGGCCCCCAGCCCCAGTTCCTGTGCAGAGCCTGCCTCACGGCCCACTGGGTAGGCCCCGAGGAATCACCCCTCACTGCTTCCATGAGCCTCCCTGGTAGCCTTTTGATCTGAGCAGGCTGGTCCCTGTGCAAGCCGTCTGCTGTCCCAGATGCTGGAGGGCCAGGTGGGTTCCATCAAATGCACCTCTTTTTCTTTCTCTAGAAGATAATTTCCCAAAGGGTGGGAAGACCTGTCTTACTTCAGTTTTGGGGGGGTCCCTATTTTGATCCCTCGAGGCTGTAACTGCAGGCCCTTCACTTGGCAACGCAGGCCTGGCCACCAGGATATACCCTGTGTTCTCCCTCCTGACTCCTCCCCTAGCCCCATCAGCAGGGTCAGATCAGAGGTGGCCCCTGGAGTGGCAGGTGCAGACACAGAGGCAGTTCTCCCTCCTGACTCCTCCCCTAGCTCCATCAGCAGGGTCAGATCAGAGATGGCCCCTGGAGGGGCAGGCGCAGACACAGAGGCATCCATTTCCCCTTGCAGCAACCTTTATTTCCAGCACTTGATCCTGCTCAGATGCTGGCAGGAGGCCCTCTGCTCAGCCTGCCAGGCTCTGCGCTGCCTCCCCGCAGGCGAAGATTCATGTACACGGTGCACAGGGGCTTGAGGTCATACTCTCCCAGCGGGAGCTGGTCCTCCATGGGCTTCCCCTCGAAGGTCAGCCAGAACAGGTCTTCCTGCACGCCCTCCTGCTGGCTCACTTGCCGCTTCAGCTGCGCCACGGTCTGTGTCAGTGCCACCTCATAGGTGCTGCTGCGGCCCTTGTCATTCCTCACCAGGATGCTCAGAGGTTCATGACAGCTGTCCACCACCAGCAGGATGGTGCTGCCGGGGCCCAGGCCCTGGCTGGCAAGGGGGACCCTGTCCTGCAGTGCCATGCCACTCGGGTAGATGGCCAGACGCTGCTGGAAGGCGTGCACACCGATCTTCTGGGTGATCTTTGCCTTCAGCTCTGACACCAACATGGAGTTGCTCAGGGGCACCTGGAACTCGTGGCCCCCCAGCATCTTCACTGTCAGGTCCCGGCCCTGCAGGAATCACACAGGCTCAGAGACTCTGCACCAGCCCCAGGCCCACCACACATGAGGCTCTGGCTGCACAAGCGCCTGTGCCCAGGGATACTGCTCCATCCACATGTTGTCAGCAGGGACCGCAGGCACAGAAGGCACTGAGGGGTCACTGCTAGAAGGTCAGCTGCCCACAGCCACCTTGTGGCCTCCCCTTACCTGCTAGGACGCCCCTCTGTGCCCCACCCCGACACTCTCCGGGGTGACCCGCTTTCAGGAGAACGTTCAGGTCACCTGGCTGACCACTCAGCACCCTGCACCCCCAGGAGACCCTGGCTGGGGAAGAGAGAGGAAAATGGACTGAACGCAGCCCCCCGCCCCCACCTGTGGCATCTGCCTTACCATGGCTGTGGGCTGTGGCACAAGCTCCCATACAGCAAAGATGAATGCGCTGCCTCTGGGCTGCCAGCTCCCGAGCCACCACCGGCCCTTTTATAAGCCTGAGCCGCACATGTCAGGGGGCGTGCCAGGGGAGCCTGAGCCTAGTGGCCAGATTCAGCTTCGGTTTCAGTTTCCTTTTCCCGAGGCAAGCCCGGGAGTGAGTAGAAGAAACAAAACAGAATGACGAAAACAGAGGGAAAAGCAGAAGCAGAGTAGGCAGGGTCTCAAGGGCACGGTCAGGGACAGGGACTCAGGACAGCGGACAGCGTCCCCACCCCTGCCCAACGCCCTGGAAACACCTGAGTATCCAGCATTCTGGGTCCTTCACGAGATGTAGTAACTCATCGTCGCATGAACGAATGATGGGCAGTTTTCATTTTCCATTTACCAGTTTGCAAGATTAGTAAACTTGGAAGTGAAACAGTGACCGTCCAAACTACCCAGAGATAACCTCACTTGGTTTAGGGAAATGTTTGCTCAGATTGGTGTTTTTTGTTGTTGTTTTTGTTTTTTTGAGACAGGGTCTCACTCTGTCCCCCAGGCTGAAGTGCAGTGGCACGATCTCAGTGCACTGCAGCCTCCACCTCCTGGGCCAAAGCGATCCTTTCACTTCAGCCTCTTAAGTAGCTGGGACCACAGGTGCACCAGCTAATTTTTTGTATTTTTAGTAGAGATGGAATCTCTCCATGTTGCCCAAGTTGGTCTTGAACTTCTGGACTCAAGTGATCCACCTGCCTCGGCCCCAAAAGTGCAGGGATGACAGGCCTGAGCCGCCACGCTCAGGCCTCATATTGTTTTTTAATAGAAGAGACATATCTTTTATTAAAAAAAAAAAAATGAATTCTGGGGCCCTACTGAGAAAGTGAAAAACAATCCACAGAATGGGAAGAAATATTTTCAAATTATTTCTCTGATGAGGGGCAGCATCCAGGGCGTACAAAGAACTCTTACAACTCAATTTTAAAAAGGCGAGTCAATTTTAAAATGGGCAAAAGACTTCAATAGACATTTCTCCAGTGACACAGAAACAGCTGCGTACCTCGGGAAGGCGGCCGTATCATTATTCATGGGGAAATGCAAATCAAAACCCCAATGAGAAGCTGATTTCGATTAGCATGACTGTAATAATGAAAATGAAGGCTCACTGAACATGTCCTCCAACATTTCAGGAGGCTGAGGAAGACATATCACCTGAGGTCAGGCGTTCCAGACCAGCCTGGCCAACATTTTTAGTAGAAACCTCATCTCTACTAAAATACAAAAATTAGCCAGGTGTGGTGGAGGGCACCTGTAATCCCAGCTACTTGGGAGGCTGAGGCAGGAGAATCTCTTGAACCCGGGAGGTGTAGATTGCAGTGAGCCAAGACTGTGCCACTGCACTCCAGCCTTGGCGACAGAGCGAGACTGTCTCAAAAACTAGTATAAAATAAAAATAAAGGACAATAACAAGCGTTGGTGAATGACTACACGGAGAAGTTGGAATCATGGCACATAACACTGCTGTTGGGAATGTAAAATAGTTTGGCCACTGTGATCCTCAAAATGTTAGACATAGAATTATTGAGTAACTCAGCATTCCACTTGCAGGCATGTGTTCAAAAGAATTGAAAACAGGTGTTCAAATACTTGCATACAAATGTTCATAGCAGCACAATTCACATTAGACAAATCTTGGAAACAGAGCAAACGTCCATCAGAGATGAATGGATAAACAAAATGTGGAATGTCCATGCAATGGAATATTATGCAGCCGTGAAAAGGACTGAAGCACTGATTCCTGCTACGATGTAAAAGAACCTCACAAACATTATGCTAAGGGAAAGGAGCCAGATACAAAGGCGGCAGGTTGTGTGATTCCACTTACTGCAGGAAAAATGCCCAGAACGGATAGACCACAGGAACAGGAAGTCAGGCCTGTTACCGGGGGCTGGGGAGGAGGGATGGGGTGATAACAGCCGTAGAGTGATGGTTGGACAATGTGATGAATAAAGGCCACTGGATTACATTCTTTAAAATGGTTAGTTTCATGTTATATGATTTTCACATCAATAAAAAGCAAAAGAGAAAAAGCCTCATTGTATGTTCACCAGTTTGTAATCTGCTTCATTCAGGAAACAATGTATCATAAACATCTGCCTAGGCCGGGTGTGGGTGGCTCACACCTGTAATCCCAGCACTTTGGGAGGCTGAGGCAGGCGGATCACTCAAGGCCAGGAGTTTGAGACCAGCCTGACCTGCATGGTGAAACCCCATCTCTACTAAAAATACAAAAAAAAAAAAAAAAAAAAAAAAGGCCGGGAGCAGTGGCTCACACCTGTAATCCCAGCACTTTGGGAGGCCCAGATGGGCAGATCACTGGAGGCCAGGAGTTCGAGACCAGATTGGCCAACATGGTGAAAACCCGTCTTTACTAAAAATGCAAAAAATTAGCTGGGTGTGGTGATGCAAGCCTGTCATCCCAGCTACTTGGTAGGAGAATCACTTGAGCCCATGACGTGGAGATTGCAGTGAGTGGAGATCACTCTACTGCACTCCAGCCTGGGCAACAGAGCAAGACTCTATCTCAAAAGAAAAACCCCAAAACACAAAACACACATCTATCCGCATTGGTGGATACATCTATGCAAGTTGTTTTAACTGCAGACGGGTCCCTGCCCACACAGAGTCGATTTAGTTAACCAGTCCCACATCACTCAGTGTTCCCAAATTGCTGCTGTGACATACAGCACATAGCAGGCAAGGGTAGCTAAGACTCAGCAATCATACATAACATTCAAATAAATAAGTAAAGGAGTGAAAAAACAACATATTCTGAATACGAATCGTGGGCCTTCCCCTCTCCCAGCAAAAATCTAGTGGGGCACAAACATTGTTAGCATGTAAAAACCAAAGACACAGCCGGGTGCAGTGGCTCGCACCTGTAATCCCAGTGCTTTGGGAGGCTGAGTCAGGAGGATCACTTGAACCCAGGAGGTTGAGGCTGCAGTGAGCTATGATCTCATCACTGCACTCCAGCTTGAGCAACAGAACAAGAACTTGTCTCATAAAACAAAACACAGGCCAGGTGTGGTGGCTCACACAGCAACATTGGAAAGCTGACACGGGAAGATCATCTGAGGTCCAGGAGTTCAAGACCAGCCGTGGCCAACATGGTGAACCCACATAGTTAAAGCTACTATGTCCAGCCTTTAACTATGTGGCAACAACAAAAGCAACAGGAAAAATTATCCCAAGACTGGTCCACATTTCTATTAAAAATACCAATAAGCCAGGTGCAGTGGCTCACGCCTGTAATCCCAGCACTTTGGGAGACCCAGATGGGCAGATCACTGGAGGCTAGGAGTTCAAGACCAGCCTGGCCATCATAGAGAAATCCCATCTTTGAAATAAAAAAATATTTTTAATTTAAAAATTAAAAAAAAATACCAATATTAGCCTGGTGTGGTGGTGGACACCTGTAATCCCAGCTACTTGGGGGGCTGTGGCAGGAGAATTGCTTGAACCCAGGAGGCAGAGGTTGCAGGAGCCAAGATCGCATTATTGCACTCCAGCCTGGGCGACAGAGCAAGACCCTGTCTCAAAATATATATACATATTTTTGAGACAGGGTCTTGCTCTGTCGCCCAGGCTGGAGTGCAGTGATGTGATCTCGGCTCACTGCAGCCATCTGGGCTCAAGTGATCCTCCCCAACTGGCCTCCCAGATAGCTGGGGTTACAGGAGTGAGCCACCATGTCCAGCCTTTAACTATGTGGTAACAACAGAAGCAACAGGAAAAATCATCCTGAGACTGGTCCTCACCACCTACACCTGCGTGCCCTGGTCCCGGCCACAGCAGCCTTTTGCATGGGGTCCTGTGGACACACCTGGCGGTCCTGCTCCCATGCCGACCCCACAACCTGCTCTTCACCCGGTAGCCAGACGGATCCACACAAAGCCTCCCATGGCTCCCCTCAGCTCTTGGGGTGACCGTCCCGGCCTAGGCTTGCTACGTCATGGCCTCTGCCCTCCCCCTGTGTCCTCTCCAGTTGCCCACAACTGCCCCCCCCCCCCCGTCCTGGGCTCTTTGCTCCAACACCTGGGCCTCTGGGCCATACCTGGCACACACGGGCACACTGGCACCCCAGCCTTTGAGACCCATCTTCCACTCATGCCCCACTGTTCTCAGCCCCCTAGTGACTGCTGCCGGGGTCTTTCTCCCTCAGCAGAATGTTAGTTCACTGGTAGACCTGCCTTGTATGTTTAATGAAACTAAATGTAAAATGCAAATGTGCTGAATCTTACATTCTCAAACATTCTGATTTCTTCCTTTTTTTTTTTTTTTAAGAGATGGACTCTCACTATGTGAGACCACTTGCCCAGGCTGGTCTTGAACTCCTGGGCTCAGGTGACCCTCCCACTTTGGCCTCATTCTGATTTCTTTTTTTTGAGATGAAGTCTTGCTCTGTCACCCAGGCTGGAGTGTAGTGTCACACTCTCAGCTCACTGCAACCTCCGTCTCCCGGGTTCAAGCGATTCTCCCGCCTCAGCCTCTGGAGTAGCTGAGATTAGTAGAGACGGGGTTTCACCGCGTCAGATGGTCTCGATCTCCTGACCATGTGGTCAGCCTGCCTCAGCCTCTCAAAGTGCTGGGATTGTAGGTGTGAGCCACCATGCCGGGCCTCATCCTGATTTCTTAATAAATTCAGTAACATCCTCTGGTCTTTCTCCTTAAATAATAAACCTAAATGTTTTATTGAGTGTGCATTTGAATCTAGAACCTTAAGGCTCATCTGATAAAACACTCACAAGTGTAAAAATTATGGGTCTGATTTTTTAGTTTTAATTAGGTGTGATTGACACACAGCAAGTTGCATCTAATTAATGTGCAATCTGATGAGTTCTGACATCGGCACCAACTGGGAAACCGTCAAACGGGGCTTTTCGTGCTTCATCAAGTGTCTGTGTAATCCTCACCCACGCAGGGTCACTCCAAAGCTTCCTGCCTTCCCACAGAGCCAGAGTGATCTCAGGTGGGTGAGCCCCATCAGGGTCTGAGGTCTGGGCCAGGTGCAGGGCTGACTTGGGGCCCTGGACTCCCAGGGAGGCCTGAGCCTTGCTCAGGTTGGCTGTTGTAGGGATCTGGCCTCACAGAGGCCAGAGGCCAGGGCTCACCCATCTGAAGGAGCCCGCCAGCCTGTGGCCCACTTCTTTGCTCCCGTTCACATCCAGACCCTTCCCCGCCTTCCCATCTGGTCAGTGACCCCTCCTCAGCCACCGCCCTGGATGACATCTGATTGACTCATGGCTCCTGGTCACATGTAACCTTTCGTCACAGCTCAAAGGTCACTCTGACAACAGGGCTGGACCTCAGCCTGGTTCCACCGGGAAGGATGGCTGGGTACCCCACAGGCACACACGGCACTCTGAGAAGGTCGTGCTGAGCCTGCCATGCCCTGCGGCCAGAGGAGAATGACCCGGCAATGTGTCATGGGATTGACCCCCTCTCCTAAGAAACATGGACTGCTGAAGTTCAAAGCCGGGCAGATGACAGGCAGCCCCTCCCCTCCAGACCCATGAGGAGGAGCCTCGCCCTGTCTTTCCACCTGGGACCAGGAAGCCTAGCTGCCACCACCTGACCTGGGCCACAAGTCTCACAGTCCTGGATTCCATCTTACCAGGCTGGAGCCTCCCCACTCACATGGCAGGCATGTCCCCTCCCAGCTGCAGCCCCCTGTTAAGGGCTCCCTGGGAGAGCAGGACTCGGGACAGGGCAGAGGGCCCCACTCCACACAGTGGGCCCAGTGGGACACTTAGAACCGCCTGGTGTCTGGTGACCTTGGCCCTAGGGAGGGGGTCTGAAGGTTAGAAGCATGCCTTTGGCTGCGTCAGGGAGGACAGAGTGGAGGGGAGGCCCATGACCCAGGAGGGCTGCTGCTATTCCAGCCAGGGGGGAGGCAGCCAGCTGGGGAGGGCTTGGGGGTGGATGGAGCCTGGTGTGCTGGAGGAGAGCGAGAGACCCCCTCTTAGACCCACAGGACCTGGCAGAGGACACAGAAGCTGCACCCCTGTGAGGAGCAGGGGCCCAGAAGCCCCAAGCTGGATACCTGACGTCACACAGCAGAGGGCAGGGCCCTGCTGTGCTGGACCCCCCCCCCCACCCCACTGCCTGGTGCAGTCACCAGGTGGTAGACCCACCCACTGGATACACAGGCCCAGCTTTCCTGGGGGAAGTGCTGCAGGGAGCTAGGGCTTGGCCAAACCAGGCTCCCTAGTGTCCCTGCCACTAAATGACACTTCCATCCCTGCCTTCCCAGAGCCAGCAGGCAGAAAACCTGGGGCTTTCGCTTGTCAGGCAGCCCTGCCCCTGCAGGGGGAGGGCAGAGGCTGGCAGCGGAGGGGAGGAGGGATCACTGCGTTTTCCGACTCCCCTGGAATCCGGCTGCTGTGACCTGCTTTGGCCAATGAAATGTGTGAAAATTTCATTGCATGCGTTCTGGACCCCAGCTTCCACCTCACCCTCCTGGAAGGCTGGCCTTGCCTAGGAGGAAGCTGACCCGGGCAGGCAGGATTCCAGGTCACAGGGCTCTGGCAGAGACTGCAGCAGCCAGGGACAGCAGCCCTGGGTGTCCAGCATGGTGACACTTGGGCCCTCCCCACTCAGCTGACCTTGGCCCAGGGCGAGGCCTGTGTGAGGCCCGGGAAGCCACTGGCACCACCCCGATCCCCGCTGAGAGAAAGAATGGGCAGGTGGTGCTTAAGCCACCCAGGCTGAGATTCCACACGGGCTGTGGTCTGCCCACAAGAATGGGAGGAAGGAGAGGAGGGAGGGAGGGTGAGGGGCAGAAACAATGGTGGCCAGACAGGCTACTCTTGATAACGAGAGGAGAAGGGTCGGAGGGGACTCAGAAGCTCAGATGAAGGCCAGCGAAAACACTGCAGACCTGGGGGCTAAAGGACAGCAGAGCTGGAGCAGGAGCGGGGCAGAGAACTGGAAGCCAGACTGCGGAGGGGTGCGGTTAGGAGAAAGGACCCAGACTAGTGGGGTGGGCGGGGAGGGTACAGGACCCCCAAAGGAGAGGAAGTCCAAGTTGGTGAATCAAGTTGGCCATCTTAATTTTGAAAGCATGGCTGGGAGACGGTCATGGAGCAGTGTCCCCTCCTTCAGGAAAGGGAGCCAGGACCTCAACATGATGAGGTCTGCTCACAAAGCTGGGGTGGTTTGGTGGAAAAGGAAACAGTCTGAAGTGCCAATGAGGAAGGACAAGGGCACCGAGCTCGTCCCCGTGCAGTGGAGAGAAAAGCAGTGCCTGCTGGGAGCGGGCCGGGAGGGCATCCCAGACAGGCAGGGCAGGGAGGAGACCCGGCACCACCCCACGTGGGGACACAGCTCCCCTGCTGCTAAGCAGGCATGCATCGGGGTGGGAGCCTAACAGCTGGGTCTCCTGCTTCTGCCTGGGTCCTGCTCTTTCTCCTGCATCCTGGATTCCTGCAGCCCTGGCCTTCCATCACTGATCCCAGCAAACACCCAGGACCAGCTCTTCGCCCAACTTGGTCCAGCCGTGGTTCCTCGGTTGCTTTGGTCCCAGCTGCCTGAGTGCCCTTGGCAGGAGTTGGGGAGCATGCTGAGGACGGCATGCAGGGCATGGCTACAGGTCTCCACTGTCAGGAGCTAGTTTGTGAGGGGGATGCTGAGGGGCACGGCAGGAATGTAGCGGCCACCTCCGGGTCAGAGATTGGGAGGGGAGGTCACAGCCAGCACCTGGCAGGTTGTACGGGGACACTGGCTGGGCGTCATGGCATGTGGCTACAGTGGCCCAATGTGAGGAAACTCCCCATGAGGCTGAGGACCCTCCCCTCAGGGAGGGATGGAGGAACAAGGGACTCAGCCTGTGCCCACCCGCAGTCCTCCAAGCCGGTCATGGAGAAGTGGCACCAAGTGAGAATTAATGAGACAGACGCAGACGGGAGCTGCCCTGTGGCAAAGATGGTGGGAAGAGCACAGGCCTGGAGACCCTGGAGTGGGCTCCCTGTGCAGGCAGCGGGGAGCAGGGTCCCTCACTACCCAGCACAGCAGGCCGAGCGTCCCACCTCATCTGCCCTCTACTCCGCGAGGACCCGGCCTGCTGCCTGGAACAGGAACCGTGGCAGATGGATGTCGGTGCTCACTGAGTTAGACACCAGCAGGTCAGCGGCTTTAAAAGTAGAATCTCCTTTGTCTTCCCAACAACCCTGGGTTAAATAAAAAGTTAGCCCCTTGTACAAATGAGGAAGCAGCTACAGGGAGGAAAGTGGGCCCATCTAACAACCAGTGAGGGAAAGGTCAGCCCCAGCCACGCCGGGCAGGAAGGAGGCTCATGCCTGTAGTCCCAGCACGTTGAGAGGCCAGGCAGGAGGATTGCCTCAGGCTGGGAGTTTGAGACCGGCCTGGGCAACATAGGGAGCGCCCCCATCTCTACAAAAGAATAAGGAGGAAAAAAGAACGATCCTCAGGCCCCTCCTTCCATCCTGAACTCCCTGCCTGTCTGGAGACTGGGGGAGGCCCAGAGGCCGCCCAAATCCCTTCCCAAATCCGGGCCCAGGGGCTGGGGAGACTCAGGCCGGCAGCTCCCCTGGGATGACCCCCAGCAGGATGCTGAGGCCCTTAGGGCCCCTGGGGGCGCTCGCGAGCTTTCCCGCCTCGGCGCAGCGCTCAGGCCGAGGAGCGGACGCGGGGGGCCATCCACGCCACCTCCTGGGCTGCGGGGCCGGTCTGGGCAGAGGGGTCGGCGCAGGCGAGCTGGGTTCCAGTGGACGCTGCCGGGGCCACCTCCGAGACGCCCGCCCAGCCCCGCGGCTTTCCCCAGTCCGCGAGGGGCGCGGACAGCTTGTCCGACGGGAGGGCCCCCCGCTCCAGCCTCGCAGGCCCCCTAGGCGCGCGCCCGGGTGCAGGCGGCGGGGTGTGGGGGGCGCCGCAGGGGCTCGGAGGGAGCGGAGGCTTCCGGACGCAAACCCCGGGTGGGTCCCGGTGCTCGCGCAGGGGCGAACCTGCCACTCAGCCGACTCGGCGGCCAGAAAAGCCCCCGGAGGTTCCTCGACCCCTCCCCGGCCAGAAGCTGGCGGCTCCGGCCGGCCAGGCCGCCCCCCCACTTCCCTCGCCCCTGCGCCCCCGCGCCCCCTCCGCGCCCTGGGAACGCCACGCCCTCCCTCGGAGCTTTCCTGCTGAAGACCCCCGTGGCCGCAGAAGCCTTTGGAACCAGCCCGTGGAGAGGCTTCTCTCCACCAACTCGGTTCTTACAGCCGCGAGACTGCGGGGTCTGCCTCGGCCTTCCTGGGGGTCTCCAGCCCGGCGTGAGTCCGGCCCTCTAGGGGGCTCAGGAGGCCTCCGGCGCACGGACGCGTGAGGCCGCAGGGGACCCCGAGTGCCGAAAGGGCCAGCGCGCCCCGCCGCGGCATTCATGGTAAAAACAGCGCACGCGACAGCGACCGCCGCCGGCGCCCGCATCCCGCCCTTGCAGTAACCAGCACGAACAGCGCCCCTTGTTTCTCCGTGAGCCCGACTTCCTGCAGCCGAGCGAGTGGACGGGTCACCTGGAAGCTCGTGACGACACCGGCCACATGACGTCATCCCACCGATGGCGTCATCGCCGCGGTCGCCCGTGACGTCACCAGCCTGCTCGCGTCCCGCAGACGTCCTGCTCCTTGTGGTTCCGCCCTGCGGGGTCACCCGTGCGCCCCTTCACCACCCGGTGACGTCGCCCTCTCCCTGCCCGTACGTCCCACCAGGACGCTTCCCGCAGCCCTCGGTGCCCCAGGACGCGCGCCGGGGGAGGCGCCCCCGGAGGCCGGGCCGGTGTCGTGTCAAACTCGGAGACCCAGCGGGGCCAAAACCGGCACCGGAGGGGGCGCGCGGGGGTCGGTCGGAGGAAGAGGCGCCACCCCAGGCTCGCCCACCCCTCGTGGCCGCCCGACCCCGCGCCCTGGGCGAAAAGTCCTTTCCGACTTCCTGCGCCGCCAGCCCGAGCTCCGTTCCACCCCTGCTCCGCCCCCGGGGTGGGAAAGTGAGCCCGAGACTCCGCCCAGCCCCGGGTCCCTGGTCCCCGCTGTCCCCCGGCGCGGTGCTCGGCCCCGGTTGCAGGGTAGGGGCGTGGATCCCCCGGCCTAGCCCCAGGGTCGGAGGAGGGCGCGGGGGGGTTCTCCCAAGCCTTTGTTGCCCGCGGCCGGGAGCCGAGGCGTGACTGACAGCGGCGGGGGAGACTGCGGGCGCCGATTGGCTGGCGCGAGTGTGGGAAAGAACGCGGAGCAGGATTCACACGCCCCGCGGCGGCGAGGCCTTAAATAGCAGCGAGAGCCGGAGCTGCGCGCGGGCCTGGAGCAGGGACCCGCCGGAGGGGTTCGGTTCGCCGCCAGCCCGCCCGCCGGCGGTCCCCGGCGGCGCGCTCCACCGCGCGTGGCGCACCATGCCCGCAGACACGCCGGGGAAGCCGAGCGCCTCGCCGCTGGCAGGAGCGCCGGCCAGCGCCAGCCCGACCCCGGACAAGCCGCGGAGCGCGGCCGAGCACCGCAAGGTGGGGTCCGGGCCGGGCGCGAGGGGGGCGGCGGGGGCGGGGAGGGACGGAGGGACGCGGGATTCAACCAGTGCCATCCGCAGTCCTCCAAGCCGGTCATGGAGAAGCGGCGCCGAGCGCGCATTAACGAGAGCCTCGCTCAGCTGAAAACCCTCATCCTGGACGCTCTCAGTAAAGAGGTAAGCCGGGGGCGACGGCCCGAGACCCGGAGTCTGGGGCGCAGCGGAGCCTGGACCTCCTGCCCCATCCCTGCCCCCAGAGCTCCCGCCACTCGAAGCTGGAGAAGGCGGACATCCTGGAGATGACTGTGAAACACCTGCAGAGCCTGCGGCGCGTGCAGGTGACAGGTGCGGCGCGGGTGGCGGCGGCTCCGAGGCGGGGGGTGGGGGCGCGTGGGACCCCCGGGCCGGGCCCCGACCGCTCCTCGCGCGTCGCCCCGGTAGCCGCGCTCAGCTACGACCCCGCCGTCCTGGGCAAGTACCGCGCCGGCTTCCACGAGTGTTTGGCGGAGGTGAACCGCTTCCTAGCCGGCTGCGAGGGCGTCCCAGCCGACGTGCGCTCCCGCCTGCTCGGCCACCTGGCCTCCTGCCTGAGCCAGCTGGGGCCCTCCCGCCGCCCGGCCGCGCCGGCCCCGGCTGCCCCCACCGCAGAGGCCCCGGCGCCCGAGGTCTACGCGGGCCGCCCGCCGCTGCCGTCGCTCGGCGGCCCCTTCCCCCTGGTCGCGCCGCCGCTGCTACCGGGTCTGACCCGGGCGCTGCCCTCCGCCCCCAGGGCGGGGACGCAGGGCCTGGGCGGACCCTGGCGGCCGTGGCTGCGTTGAGGCTGCGGCCCTGGGACCGCCGCGGAGGCCGCGCCCTGTTCTAGGGCCTGGGCCTTTTCTGGACTGTACCGGAGAATACGTATTTATTATTCCAGAGGACGCGTCAGGAGTTTTCCTTTTTTCGTCTTTGTAAGTCGACTTTGGTGGCGCAGGGCGTCCCGCCCTCCCAGGGCGGAGGTCCGCAGGTGGCCGGGGGCGTCGGGCGGGCTGGGGGCGACCCCTGCAGCCCCTCCGCGCCCTCCCTGACCTCCGCCCTCTGCAGCCCCCCCGCGTCCCTGCGGCCCCTCTTCGCCCCTCTCCTTTCTGACCCGCTGCAGTCCCTCCGCGCAGACCCCCTCTGCCCCTACGTTGGCTTTGCCTCGCTCTGCGGTGCGTTTCTGAGGGGTCCCCGGAGGCTCAGGCGGGAAGGTGACCGTCCCTGAGTGTCCAGAATGTGTCCCGGCGCTGGAAGGCGGTCGCGCAGCATCGCCAGGCGTTACTTTTTCAGCGGTCCCTTTCCCGACTCCCAGTCCCCGGACCCTGGAAGGCGGAGGCTGCGGTCCTGAGCTGAGTTGAGCCCTAACCCTTAGCCCTGAAGCCTCCCGCTGGGTTCTCCTGCTCGTGCGGAGCGGCCCGGGCTCTGTGCTGGGGAGGGTTGGGGGCCGAGCTGGGGTGCGGACACCAGGTACCCGGGCCAAGGACGTGGCTCCCGAGGGCGTCGGGCCCTCCCGCAGCCTACCCTTTCCGGGGAAGGGAGGTTCCACTCTCCAGTGGGTTAGGCCTGGGGGCTCCTCACTGGCCCTGAGCACGTGCCGTTGGCGACCACCGAGTTACCAGGTAGCGCCGGGCATCCCCCTCAACCACCGCTGCCGTCGCCATCCTGGGTCCTGTGCTCCCCGGGGGGCCGAGGCAGAGGATCTCCCTCAAGCCCCGCCCAGGGCCATTTCCCATCAGTGCTGAGTTCACCGGGGCCCACCGGAGGCGAGGGAGCCGTCCCACCAGCATGGGGCCTCGAAGGCTCCAATCATGCCTCCAGCAGGAGCCCCCTGGACCCTCCAGGACAGAGCCCCGCGGCACACCTCGCAGGAGCCTCCCAGGCCACCCTGCCCTCCCCCCAAGCTCCCAAGGACCGGCCAGTGACCCTGAGCCGGAGTAACATTGGGGTCCCAGCACCCCCCCCCCCCCCGCCAGGCCCCTATGCTTACCTGGGTCTCAGTAACCTTGGGCTGGGACCTGCACCCTTGGTCCCACCAGCAGTCCTGCCCCGGGAGTCCTGCTCCCAGGGGAACCTCAAAGTAGCCCTTCTCCTTTGGAGCCTGGGTACCAGCTCTGTGAGGGAGGCTGGGAATGGGGGAGGGGAGCTGCTCAGAGCAGGCGTCAGTGCAGAAGGGAAGGGAGGACCTCGGAGGTGAAGCTGGGAGTGTGGAGGGAGCCTGGCGCTGGAGAGGCACCCTGCAACGTCACCCAGGTTGTGGGTCCTAAAAGGCAGCACAGCCTCCACCAGACCCCAGCGTCGAACGCCCTCCACCCGCTCCACCCCCGCTGTGGCTAACGGGCCTGTAGCTCTCCAGGGGCCACTCAGGTTCTGTGGGAATCACAGTCCTTGGGCAAGCCCGTGGCAGTCCGGGTCCCTTTGTACTCAGCATCCTGCCCCCAGCTTTCCCTGACTTTCCTCCTAACTCGTGATCCATCCCAACTGCCGTAGACTCGGTGTCTCTCATATCATCTGGGCCCAGCTGGATGGGGCTCCAGAGGGCGAGAGCCAGTCTGTCCTGATGCGCTGTCCTCGGCACTTGCCCAAAACAGGGAAATGAACCCACAGGGACCTAATCCAACGATTTGAATGACAGAACTGGGAGGATTGGGCTAGACCAGGGAGGCCTCGGGAAGCACAGCCTGAGGGGCCAGGCTAGGTGGGCAGTATGGGCCCCCCTAGGATTCCCATTTCTCAGAGTCGCCCCTGCCCCCCTGCCGGCCTCCAGGAGCCAGCCTCTGCCCACACCCAGGAGGGACGCCTGCCAGAACCTGCTTCCTGGGGCCCCAGCTGTGGGCTGCCCCCTCTCACTTGGGGTCCTTCCTGCCTTCTCCACCCTCCAGACATTTCCTGCCCCTCCCCGCCTTAGGTGGAGGCCACTGTGCAGCTGGGCTCTGGGCCGGTCCCGCATCCTCTCGATGGAGGAGTGTGGCTGATGGTCACCAGTCACTTGCAGTTCATCTCCTGCTGCCTCCCTGATGAGGACCGAGAGTCAATAAATGTTTGCTGAACTCCTGCACCTCTGTGGGGTCTGGGCTTGTCATCAGGGAACTGGGCGACACAAGAGCAGACCACGGGCTTTCAAAATCTGGAGAACAAATCAGTCCCGTGGTGAGAGATGGCCAGGCTGGGCCCATTAACTCCAAGCATGGAAATTAGGGATGGGGGTGGGGCTGGGGCCTGGGGCTGCCTGGAGCCATGGCTTGTGAGAGGTGAGGCCGAAGCTCCTCCCCCCCCAGGCCCCTGTGTTCACCTGGTCCCAGCCCCCCCACCAGGCCCCTGTGTTCACCTGGGTCCCAGCCCCGCCCATGCCCCTGTGCTCACCTGGGTCCCAGCCACCTCTCCTCTGGCTCCCCTGGCTCCAGGACTGTCTCGTCACCCAGGCCTGGCTGCTGCCCCAGTGTGCCCTGGAGCCCCAGGGCTGTACCCACATAGGATGCAGCCAGGGCAAGGGCCCTGAGGCCTGGGGTGGCAGCCTCCCCAGTGGCCCACGGGCCCCTCATGGCATTCACACCTCAGTGTCCTGAGAGTGGCCTGTGGGGTAAATAGGACCCTGCTGAGGTGATGGGCTCAGAGTGAGACCCTGTCTCAGAAAAAAGAAAAATCAGTCGACAGTGAATGTGGTGAAGGCTTATTCTTCTGGACTCTCAATTATATTCTATTAATAAATATGTCTATCCTTGTTCTGTTATCAGTCACACTGTCTTCTTGGTCACTGCAGATTCGTAGTATTCATTGTTGTTGTTTAGTTGGGTTTTGTTTTGTTTTTTTGAGACAGTCTCTGTCACCCAAGCTGAAGTGCAGTTGCGTTATTTTGGCTCACTGCAACCTCCGTCTCCTAGGTCAGCCTCCTGGGCGGCTGGGAACTACAGGTGTCTGCACCACGCCCAGCTCATTTTTGTATTTTTAGTGGAGAAGGGGTTTTGCCATATTGGCCAGGCTCAGGCATTTCTTTTCTTTTCTTTTCTTTTTTTTCTTTTGAGACTGAGTCTCACTCTGTCTCCCAGGCTGGAGTGCAGTGGCATGATCTGGGCTAACTGCAACCTCTACCTCCTGGGTTCAAACGATTCTCGTGCCTCAGCCTCCCGAGTAGCCAGGATTACAGGCACCCCCCATCATGCCCAGATAATTTTTGTATTTTTAGTAGAGATGGAGTTTCGCCGTGTTGGCCAGGCTGGTCTTGAACTCCTGACCTCAAGTGATCCACCCGCCTCAGCCTCCCAAAGTGCTGGGATTACAGGCATGAGCCACCACCCCGGCCCAGTCGCAGGCATTTCTTTATAACAATGCGAGAACAGAGTCTCAGCCTGTGAGTTCAGGATGGGGCCTGTAGAGGGGAGGCCGTGGGGAGAGGAAGGTGGTGGCGTCTGGGCCGTTGGGCTCATTCTGACCTGGACAGGGCACTGGATTTTTCTGTTGCTTTATTTTTATTTCATTTTTGAGATGGAGTCTTGCTCTTGCCCAGGCTGGACTGCAGTACTGTGACGGTGCAATTCTTAAGGATGATTCTTTTCTCTGTTGAATTGTCTTGGCACCCGTGTTGAAAATCAGTTGACCGTAGGATGGGCCTGGTGGCTCATGCCTGTAATCCCAGCACTTTGGGAGGCTGAGGCGGGTAGATCACTTGAGGTCAGCAGTTAGAGACCAGCCTGGCCACCATGGTGAGACCCCGTCTCTACTAAAAATATAAAAATTAGCCAGACATGGCAGCGGGTACCTGTAATCCCAGCTACCCAGGAGGCTGAGGCGGGAGAACCACTTGAACCCAGGAGGCAGAAGCTGCAGGGAGCAAGGTCACACCATTGTACTCCAGCCTGGGTGACAGAAAAGTGGCTTCAGTGGGTTGTGGATCTGCAGGCTGCACAGGTGGCATGGGGCTGGCACCTGCTCAGCTTCTCGGGGAGGCCCCAGGAAGCTCCCAGTCCGGGCAGGAGAACGGGGAGCAGGCAGGTCTCATGACCAGAGCAAGAGCGAGAGACGAGAGATGGAGGGGTGGGGGAGGGGAGGGGCGGGGTGGGAGAGAGGGTGGAGGTGGGGCAGGGATGCGGCACCACCCACTTTTAAAGACCAGATCTGGTGAGACCTCACCATCTCAAGGACTGTTGCTAAACCCTTCATGCGAAATTCGACCCCACGATCCATACCACCTCCCACCAGGCCCCACCTCCAACACCGGGGATTACAGTTCAACATGAGATTTGGGTGGGGACACAGATCCAGACTGTATCACTGACCATGGCTTGTGCCAAATACACGAGGTGGCAGGGCTGGCTGCACACCAGCATGGGACGCTGCAGCTTCTGATCCCCCGAAGCATGTCCTCTTAAGCCCCAGTGGCACCCTCGGTCTTGGCCTTCCCAGCCCCACTCGGAAGCTCTGCTGGTTTTGGCCAGACTTCCTCCCTCACACGCACCAGGAGGCGGGGCGAGCTGTGACTGCAGACTCCTGGGGCAGGACATACCTGGTGTGTGCCTATGCACTCTCAGTTTCTCCAATTTGCCTTTAAGAAAAGAGGAAGCTGGCCGGGCATGGTGGCTCACGCCTATAATTCCAGCACTTTGGGAGGCTGAGGCGGGTGGATCACGAGGTCAAGAGATCGAGATCATCCTGGTCAATGAGGTAAAACCCCGTCTCTACTAAAAACACAAAAATTAGCTGGGCATGGTGGCGCGTGCCTGTAATCCCAGCTACTCGGGAAGCTGGGCAGGAGAATTGCTTGAACCCAGGAGGCGGAGGTTGCGGTGAGCCGAGATCGTGCCATTGCACTCCAGTCTGGGTAACAACAGCGAAACTCTGTCTCAAAAAAAAAAAAAAAAAAAAGGAAAAGAGGAAGCTGGTTGGATGCAGTGGCTCACGTCTGTAA